ACTTTTTTCAGCTAAACAATGTACCCTCTTCGACACCCAACCTTGTAGAGAGGTCTTGAACGGTTTTCAGTAAACACTCAATCAGCTGAACATGGTCAAGGTCGGGAATCTGATTCGACCACAGCGACCTCATAATCGATACACGCTCAAAAACCTGCACAATTTACCGAACTTAGGAAGGGCAGCTTATTGAGTAACCCGTTGCATAACAGAAGCAATCCTGCGCAACCCCCCCCCCTCCTTTGTGGGTACTTAGATTTCATATTATACCCCCTTTCTTTTCCCCATCTTTCCTCTTTTTGGATGTTTGTGTGGGATGTGTGTATATGTGTATGTATGTGTATGAGTGTGTATGTGTGTGTCTGTGTGTCTGTGTGTGTTGTGTGTGTATGTATGTGCGTCTGTTTTGTTTTGGTAGGTGTTTTAAGGTCATATGAGAGCGTGGGACACGTTAAGCGTTTTCAGTTTGGTAGGAATTAATTTTGAATTTTGCCCAGGTGGGGGTTGATGCTTACTCTGATCGACTTTAAGACCACCAAGGGATCTTTGACGCTAGCAATTTGCACATGAAACCTCCGATATTTTGTCGCCCTTTTCCAAGAAGGCTAGGTGTAGATCTTAAATGCCTTAAGATCAGGGATGTGGCTGAAAGACAGCAGAAAGAAGTAGCGAAGGAGCAGCAAAAGAAAGTCTGCTGAAATAGTTAGAAACACGGTTAGAAAGCAGGAACAGAGGTGAAAAGAAAAAAAAGAAAAAAATTAGAGAAGACAATTTTCTGCCGCTGTCAGGTTTCGTACCCATGATCTATTGAATGAGAGGCCCCACACCCGTATCTCTAAACCACGAGAGCCCCCTGCGTGAGTGTGTGTGTGTGTGTGTGTGTGTGTGTGTGTGTGTGTGTGTGTGTGTGTTTTGTGTGTATGTCTTTTATGTGTGTGTACGTCTGTGTGTGTGAATGAGTCTGTGTTTGTTTATATTATGTGAATGTGTCAGTGTGTGTATTGTGTATGTGCGTATTTATGTTTATGAGTGTATGCTTGCGTATGAGTATGCATTTTTTTGTGTATGTTTGTGTGTGATGGTGTGTGTGTGTGTGTGTGTATGTGTGTGTGTGTGTGTGTGTGTGTGTGTGTGTGTGTGTGTGTGTGTGTGTGTGTGCGTGTGTGTGGTGGGGTGCGTCGTAGTTTCTCGAAGATAAAAAAAAACCTTGTTCTGTGCAGATTTGTCCGAGATATCAGCTGAGAGCGTTTTCCCCTTCCCTTTAGCTGAGCTACAACCTGAAATTATCTTCCGTGACGTCGACATTCTAGGGGTTAGACTACCGGACTCTTTATCGATTCTTTATTTTAACGTAGGTAATTTTGCCTTACAATGTTGCAAGGGGAGTTAACACTAAAATGTAACCATTTTAAATCAAACATATTCAGTCTCACCTGGACTGCCTGTGGTTGTGGGGTGCTCTGCTGTGGTGTGCTCCTACATCTGTCGTCCTTATCTCTCCTGATTCTTTTTTTCATTATGTTACTCTAGTTTTGGCAATAGTATAACCTATTACAATTAGTGTTATAAGTGCCGTAAAACTCTCACTGAAACGAACAACTCTCTAGTAACACCCCTTGTCTTTGTCATTTGTAAGACCTACCATAATGTGTGTTTTAAGTGCCGTAAAACTCTCACTGGGCTGAACAACTGTCTAGTAACACCTTTTGTCCTAGCCATTTGTAAGACTTATCATAATGTGTGTTTTAAGTGCCGTAAACCTCTCACTGAAACGAACAAATCTCTAGTAACACCCCTTGTCTTTGCCATTTGTAAGACCTACCATAATGAGTGTTACAAGTGCGTAAAACTCTCACTGGACTGAACAACTCTTTAGTAATTCCTTTTGTCTTAGCCATTAAATTTTGTAAGACTTACCATAATTTGTTTTACAAGTGCCGTAAAACACTCCGAGAAACGAAGAACTCACCTGGACTCGCCCTCTGCCCCCGGTACGTACAGTTGTAGGGAGACACAAACACTGGAGACCTGCTCGTTGTCACAGGGGCTGGCGGCACCACGGGGTGTTCTGATGACATGGGCGGTAATAGATTGTGCTTTACGAGTTTATCGATGAACAAACAAATCTTTCAGTTCTGTTAAGACTGTTCCTCCTTCTTCTGGTGATATGGGGTAAGCAGACAGAAGAAAATGCTGGAGAGAGTCTGTTTTCCGTTCCTCGTGTTTGAACCCGCACAACTTGCAATTTTGGCCAAGGAACCCAACCGCTACACAAAGGATACGTGAGGCAGAAAATAGGTTAAATATACCCAACCATTGACTCAACGAACAAATTATTCTATTTTCAGTGTTTTAGCAAACGTCACCTTTGATAGACTTTCTAAAAGATTCTCTTCCGGAGCGAATTATATAATTATGGTGAAATATATAGAGATAACCTGTTCGCAGACCGATCTATCTGGAATATAAGTCCAGAAAGGGTTGTCACGACGCGTTGGAATCAGACGCTCGTCAATTGTTGGGCTTGTGAAGTTATTGGTAACGTCTTAAAGCTTGTTCATTTGCCTTTCTTTCAATGAAAAAGTACTCGTCTGTCTTGAATAGAAATCGAGATATTTTTGTGATTGAAGGAAGTGGGGGTCTCTGTATTAAAAGGTAAAATTAGCGTGAAAATGGTCGCCCAATTTCGGTAACTTACATAGCTGGAGTATCCAAGGAAACTAAAATTTACATTTGTTTGCGCCTTTAATCAACGTTTTTCCGTAAAATACAAACAGACATGTGTTTTAAATTCACAATGAAAAGGTGTTCCAAAACATTTCAAATCCATAAAAATTGCCAAAACGGTGGGAAAGTGCCGTTTCTTCGATTTCAATATTTTGACGAGCGTCTGATTTCATTATGGCTACAATGTGTCGCTTTTTTAAAAAAGTAAGTGTTCTGTTGCCCTTGTCCATTACGTAGTACTTTATTTCAGTGTGGAAAATGCGGGTTCGCAGTCTCGACTGGACAATCTGGGGTGACGTTTGAGTGAGCAGTTTTTCTCGGAGGTCATTGCTCTTTACTGAACTGGCTTGGACATCTTTTTTTTTTTGTCAGAGAGCCGGACTGAGGTCAAAAGAGTGTTGAACCAATACCTTTTGTCTATCTGTGTCGAGTAAAGTCTTCTTTTTATTTTTGGTAAGGTGCTCGCTCGCAACTGCAAAAGGTCATATGAGCGCCCGGGACACACTAAACATTTTCAGTTGGTAGAAAATTCTGAATTTCCCCCGAGTGCGCAACTTGCACTGGAGACCTCAGAGATTTTTCATCCTTGTCAGAGAAGGCTCGGTGTAGATCTTTCTTACCATAACACCAGGGGTGTGTCTGTAAGAAGGAGCCAAGGAGTATCAATAAAAATGCTGCAGAAAGAATCGGGAGCTCAGAGGAGGGGACAAAGGAGGTGAGAGGGTGGGGGCACAAAGTAGACCACAGAATATTGTTAGAGAGCAGGAAAGGATGTGAAAGGAGAAAAGTTTAGAGAAGAAAAGTTTCCGTCGCTATCAGGATTCGAACCCGGAACCTATTGAATGAGAGACGAGCACCTGAACCTGTAGACCATGAGAGTCCCCGAAGTCTTGAGCCCTTCCAAAAGAAAAATGATGTACCGAAGACTGATGACATCAATCTTTACATGAAACATATTATGGGAGAAAAACTCTCTCACTGGTGGAAGTGTGGGAAGAGCATTGACTTAACTAGCGTATGGTGATCAAAACGTAATAAAACTATGTTCGAGTTATCTCTGAAAGCATACAGATAGATAGATCGATAGATCGATAGATCGATAGATAGATAGATAGATAGATAGATAGATAGATATAAGGATTAACAATTGAGTCGATTACTGGATAGATAGATAGATAGATAGATAGATAGATAGATATATAGATAGATAGATAGATAGATAGATA